TAGGGAAAGTGTTATCGGGGGCTGGTAAGTAATTCGAAGGACTGGGACCGCCCTCCTATGTGCTGTAGTGGGGCTGTCCAATGTGGAGGAAGGGGCTGGAGTAGTAGATAGCTCGTAGGAGTGCTGGGAAAAGGGTTCGACAGGCTGGGAAGTGACTGGGACAGCAGAGACAAATGCAACAAAAGGGTGGCAAGGTGGCTGGGGATGGTGGGAAGGCTGGACAACAATGTTAATGTAGATAGGAGCGGCAGTGAGGTGTTTGGAACGGGTGCAAAAGTTGGATGATAAGTGGAAAGGTAGTTGCAAGGGCAGTCAAACAAAGAGCAAGGGTCTGGAGTGGCTAGTCGTTGAGGGAAAGGGAGAAGAAAGTTTAGGGAAGAAGATTTAATAAGATGCAACACCACCTTGGAGTAGGATACAACCGGAGTGTCGACCAAATAAATGTCGCGGATTCTTTATTTTAGGATTTAATTTTTTAATTTAATTAATTTAGTTTATATATGTGATTATAACTTTATAAAATAGTATTTTAAATTTAAACAATAATGTTTCAATTTAATTTATATATGACTATAATTTAAAAAAAAATGAATTTAGAAAAAGTGAAACCGAATGTACTTCACATATTTGATAGTCTAGATGGTTGAGCGTGATGACACAAGTAGTACACTATCCTGAAGGATAAACATATAATTTGTTAGTAGCTTTAACCACCTAAATTAAAGAGTTCGTGACGTCTGTTTGGTCTGCGAAATCTTTTTTATAAGCCGATAAGTTCTCCTATTTAACATGAGAGGTTAGATATGATTTATATTAAGCTGGGTTCTTAAGTTTATTATAGAAGCAAACCTTTATAGTTAATTACATCTTTGACAATTGAAATCACCTAAGAAGACTCTCGATTAAGATTAGTGGTTTTGTCTTCAAGATTTCAAAATTCAGGATTCCAAGGTTTAATATAAGAAAATCAAAAGGGAAGAGCTCAAAATAGGAACAATTATTTTAAGATTTCAAAGGAAAGAAAAGTAGGGGATGTCACGGATCAGAGGAAAACCCCGGTGATTTCCCAACTATCCTAGTGTTTGACTTTGTCTTTGAAATGATATTATTTAGTATTTCAATCCAGCCAATTTATTTTAGGATTTAGGACTTATATTCGCACGATGTCCGATCGTGCAATTAACCTAGGAAGATAGAAGTATTTACGTTGTACCGAACGACGACCTCAGAATCCTTAAAAGATTTAGGACTTATAATGTATAATAGAGTGGTGCAAAGACCTAAAACGGAAGTGAGGATTTATGTCGCACTAAGCATGTCGCACTAAGCGGACACTAAGCGGACTACCTCGAAGTCCTATGAGTTTGTTATTTATTCTATAACAATTTCAACTAAGGATCGTCCTTCACTTTGCTGTTGTGGTCTCGATCGTTGCCCTTCGTTCGCTTGCTTCGACGTTCCTGACGGGTCTGCTACTGCTGTAAATGGGGTCGTTGTCGCAGGTAAAAGTAAACGAGTTTAATGGAAAATTTAACATGTGGTAAACATGCATTTATACAAATAGGAATGAATAGCAGAAACATTACCTGAAAATCTCGAGGAAAGCCACAAATGACCCATGGAAACTCGAAGAAAACCATTAGAAATACGAAGATAATCCGAAGTAAATCACGAGTGATCTACAAAAAATCCAATAAAACCGTATGAAACGTACGAAAAATCCAGGAAAAGAAAGAAAACCGTAATCATTCGAGCCGGGGTAGACTCAGATTTTGGTTATTCTCGAGAGACTTCGAAGGCAACCATCTGTCATCCGTATGTATAAAGCCTAACATTCAACTAAAAATTTTTATCAATACAATCTTAGGAGGGGAGTCCTTAGCCAGTATAGGTAATTAACGAGTGGACAATCAGATTATATTTCTTAAAGTTTATATTTTGGCATACATATAGGCTTCATGCATATAAGCAAAATTTATATCTATTTTAGAAGTCAAAATATTTTGTAAATGACGTATCTGTTCTTATCGTTGTACTTTTAAAAAAATTAATTATCTTCAAGTCGATCACACTGTCGGGTGATGACCGCTAGCAGTCTAAGAAGACAAGAATCCTCGCTAATCTAGTGTTGGTGAATAATATTGTCAGCCTACATTTTCACTGGGTCCTTAAGTTGGGTCTCGATGTCGTATGATGCAATATTATCCCGCTCTACCACCAGATGCCTTTGTCATCACAGGCTTAAACCAAAAAAAAAGACCATCCAACTTATGAGCTTGCTTGATGGTTCATATATAACCACAACTATATATGCACGCTTATATTTCAGACATAAACACGTAAAACACGTAAAACCAAACCAAGAAGCAACCAAACCAAGAAGAAAAAAAAAAAAAATCAAAAATAAATAAATAAGAAAAAAAGAAGAAGACTAACCCACCTCCAAAGCTAGTATAAGAAGGAGGCCAAAGCGGTAAGATGGTCAGCCTCCAATATTCACTCAATAAAACACCTCAAATGAATAACAAAATGAGCACACTCATCAATAGCTAGCTATCTTTTCAAAACAACCGGTGTAACAATCCAAAAGAGGTGTATCAAAAGGATTCAATTGCTAGCCCAAAACACTCCGAAAGACACATTTTAGATGATTCCAAGTTGCTCCCAATTCAATCCAAATCTGCTCAAAAGTCGCACTTCGAAAGGGGCCTAAATTGCAACTAAATACTCCCAAGCAATCAATTCAGCCCGAAGAACTGGGCATTTCAATCTTCCTAAAATATCTTCCTAAAATATCGAACAAATATCGAACAAATGGATATACCATCTAACTCTTTCTCACAAGCAGAATAGGTGGCTGGTAAAGGGGCAGCAGGGAGGCAAATCTCTAGCACGACACGAGAAACAATCCACCAACAAGTTTCGGGTAAGACAACAGGGGAAACAACCAAACCAACATAAAGGAAGCCTCAAATAGTAGGCTCGGGTAAGAACAACAAAAGGAACCACCAAAACCGACATAACAGGGCCCAAACAACAAATCTTGGGTAGGAGCAGCAAAAGCACCACCAAAACCAATACAAGGAGGCCACAATAATGATTTCGAAAAGATCAAGCAGGGGAAAACAATCCAAACTAACACAGGAAAGCACCATCAAGGGCCTCGAAAAGAGCTCTCGGGTAGGGGCAACAAAAGCATCACCAAAACCAACACAAGAGAACCCACATAGCTACTCTCGGGTAGAGGCAACAAGGCAACAACCTACACCAACACAAAAGAAACTCATACTGCAGATTTCAGGTAGGAACAACAAAAGGAACCACCAAAACTGGCAGAACAGAGCCCAAACAGCAAGTCTCTAGTGGGGGCAGTAAAAGGAAACAACTCACACCAGTAGGGAATACCAACAGGGGCCTCAAATAGAGCTAGTAGGGCAAACAATCCCAATCCCCCCAAGAAAACAGCAGCAGGCGTGCCAAATAGGGGAAACAACCCAAAATAAGACACAGGGGTACAAGAAGGGTCTCGAATAGAACTAGCAACAAAGAAGAGACAAATTAAAACTCCAAAAGCTCCAAAAGAAAAAATAACAACCTGCACATATGTCTCGACTAGGGGGGGCAACAGCCAAGCCCCAAAACAAGTGATGAGTTTTATAACCATGTCAAAACCTTTTTGTAGACAATTAAAATCACCTAAGAAAACTTTCGAATAAGATTAGTGGTTCTGTCTTCAAGATTTCAAAGTTTAGGTTTCCATGGTTGAATATAAGAAAATCAAAATGGAAGAGCTCAAAATAGGAACAGTTATTTTAAGAGTTCAAAAGAATGAAAAGTAGGGGATGTCACAGATCCGAGGAAAACCCCGATGATTTCTCAACTATCCTAGTGTTTGACTTTATGCCTTTGAAATGATATTATTTAGTTTTTCAATCCTGCCGATTTATTTTTGGATTTAAGACTTATATTCGGACGATACCCGATCGTGCAAATGACCTAAGAAGGCAGAAAAATTTACGTCGTACCTAACGACGACATCGGAATCTTAAAGAGAATTAGGACTTATAGTGCACAATAGAGTGATGAAAAGGCCTAAAGCGGAAGTGAGGATTTATGTCGCACTAAGCGGACTATCTCGAAGTCTTATGAGTTTGCTATTTATTCTACGAAGATTTCAACTGAGGATCATCCTTCACTTCGCTGTTGTGGTTTCGATCGTCGCCCTCCGTCCACTTCCTTTGACGTTTTGCTTCCTGGAAAGGCTACTCCTAGCTCCATAACATATCGATCATAGGTTTGGGGTTTTGGTGTGTATAAATATACAGTTGTTAGGTCAGTGACTCGCTATAGAGTGCCTCATAAACCGGGTGTTCTACTGTCTTCTATCCTAAAGGCCTCTGCAATTCTATAGAAGCAACATGAATAATAAGAAGGAAACATGCTATGAAGCGCAGTAAATAATAAACAGTAATATAACAAGCATAAACTATATGTATATGCAGTAAAGTGCGGGAAATGAGAACGATAAGTAAAGAAAGGCAGTAAAGTGTGCAGTAAGGAAAGTAAAATGATGTAAATATAAAACAAACCTGTATACCTGACAGTCTGCTACTCCTGTAGATGGAGTCGGTGTAGCAGGTGAAAGTAAACGAGTTTAATGGAAAATTTAATAGGTGGCAAGCATGCATTTGTACAAATAGGAATGAATAGCAAAAACATCACCTGAAAATCTCGAGAAAAGCCACAAATGACATATGGTAACTCGAAGAAAACTATTAGAAATACGAAGAAAATCTGAAGAAATCACTAGTGCTATACAAAGACTCAAATAAAATCGTATGAAACGTACAAAAAATCCGATGAAAGAAAGAAAACCGTAAGCATTCAGGTCGGGGTATGCTCAAATTTTAGTTATTCTTGAAGGACTTCGAAGACAACCATCGGTCATCCATATGTATAGAGCCTGACATTCAACTAGAAATTTTCGAAGATATAATCTTAGGAGGGCAATCCTTATCCCAACACCGGTAATTAACGAGTGAACAATCAGATTATATTACTTAAACTTTATATTTTAGCATTCATATAGGTTTCATGCATATAAACAAAATTTATATCTATTTTGGTCGTCAAAATATTTTGTAAATACTGTATCTGTTCTTATTGTTGTACTTTTAAAAAATTTAATTGTCCACAAGTCGATCACACTGTCGGGCTAGGACCTCCAGCAGCCTAAGAAGTCAAGAGTCCTCGCTAGTCTAGTGTTGGTGAATAATATTATCATCCTAAATTTTCACCGTGTTCTTGGGTCAGGTCCCGATGTCGTAGGATGCGATATTATTCCGCTCTATCACCAGATATTTTTGTCATCACGGCCTTAAACCCAAAAAATAAAGACCGTCCAACTTACGACCTTGCTTGATAGTTTATATATAACTATAACTCTTATGTTTCAGACATAAGCACGTAAAACCAAACCAAGAAGCAAGGAAAAAGCACCGAAAGAAATAAATAAGAAAAAAAGAAAAAGACTAACCCACCTCCAAAACTAGTATAAGAAGGAGGCTAATGCGGTTGGAGGGTCAGCCTCAAATATTCACTTAATAAATCACCTCAGATGAATAGGGAAATGAGCACACTCATCAATAGCTAGCTATCTTTTCCAAACTACCGGTGTAACAATCCGAAAGTGGTGTATCGAAATGCTTCAATTGCTAGCCCAAAACACTCCGAAATGCACATTTTAGAGGATTCCAAGTTGCTCCTAATTCAATCCAAAACTGCTCAAAAGTCGCACTTCGAAAGAGGCCCAAATTGCAACTAAACTCCCAACAAATAGAGCAGGGAGGAGCAGCAAAAGCACCACCAAAAGCATCACAAGGACACCACAATAATGATTTCAAAAAGATCCAATAGGGGAAAGCAATCCAAACTAACACAGGAAAACACCAGTAAGGGTCTCAAATAGAGCTCTCGGGTAGGGGCAGCAAAAACATCACCAAAACCAACACAAGGGAGCCCACATAGCTGCTCTCGGGTAGAGGCAACAAGACAACAACCTACACCAACACAAAAGAAACCCATACTGCAGATTTCAGGTAGGAGCAGCAAAAGGAACCTCCAAAACGGACAGAACAGGTCCCAAGCAGCTAACCTCGGATGGGGGCAAAGCAGGTGTGCTAAGCAGAGTAAACAACCCAAAATAACACACAGGGGTACCAGCAAGGTTATCGAATAGAACTAGCAACAGAGAAGAGACAAAATAAAACTCCAAAGGCTCTAAAAGAAAAAAATAATCACCTACACATATGTCTCGAATAGGGTGGGGGGCAACAACCAAGCCCCAAAACAACAAGTGATGATGTCAAAACTTTTCGTTTGACTGGAGCCAGGGAATCTACAAAACCAAACCAAGCCAACTTCATGAAACCGAAACCGCCGATTCCATAAAACAAAATCGAATGAGCCCACAAGGCCAAGACCACAAGGCTCCACAAAAATCAAACCAAATCAGCTCAAAATATCACAGCCAAACGAGTTCAAAACATTGCACACATGCAGCTCAAGAGCCATCAAACAGGCCCAGGTAATGCAGCTTGTGGGTAAAGCTAGCAGGGAACGAATCGACAAAGAAAACGCCTAATATATAGAGCTGAAACAACATTTGGACTTCACATAAACTAAAGAAGGTGGATGGCATAAATGCTTAGGCATAATAAGAACAAAGGAAAGAAGTTTTCACATGCATAATACTTGAATCATTGCCACTTATAAGTCTAACACCCTTAGCTGAGTAAGAAGGATGAAGTAATTAAATCAAACTCAATAGAAATGCTAAAGGTCTAAACATCCATAACAACTGATAACAATTTCAAAATGAGATTCCTGGTAAGACAACCAAGCTCATACATATATATATTCTTTTTTTTTTCTTTTTCTTCTTGAAGTAAAGAAAGAAGAAAAAAAACTTGCTACAGATTTTTATGCCCTCGAGCTTGTTCAGCCTCTTTCGAGCAGAAAAGAAGAGCAAAAATGAGATAAATTACCTTGCTCGAGCTTTGAAAGAATTAAAAGGGAAGCCACAGAACTCCCAAACACCAAATCCTCGAGCACCAAGTCCCAGCCGAGTAGAGATTTCGGCAGAACCTCCCCCAGACTCAAAATTTCCGTAACCCCTTACCTAACCTCCCCCCATGGTGTTTTATACCCGAAGAAGAAGAAGAACAGGAGGGAGAAGAAGAGGGAGTGTAGTCATATCATCGATGGATGATGGGGCATCGCAGTGCCTAGCTAACTAAAGGAAATAGGCGTAAAAGGCTCGGGTAACCGCAAGCATACTGCAAAGGGGAACTACGAAGTGAATCGGCATAGAATTGCGATGGTCAAAGGGGACGAATGCTTCGGACGTAGAGGGAGAAGAAGCTTCGGACAGAGCGAATAGGGAGTCACCTCGACATGGCGTGGAGGGAACGCTAGGGCAGGCCACCAAAATTGCGGGGCTTGTGGCGTGCTTTTGTTTAGGTTAAATTGGATTAGCGTTTTATATTATAACCCTTATAATATATATATATATATATATATACATTGACGGTTAGCGATTCCCTGCATTAATTCTATGGCTTCTCTCTGATTTCATCGTGCCCACGACGAAGAGTTTCGCGCCAATCGGTTTCCTCGTACCCAACGTCGAAGGGTCTCTCTCCTTCGGCTTTCTTGCTCGTCATTCCTCTTCCTGACGCATTCGCGCCTTCGATTCAGCCCGACGTCGAAGGGCTTCTGTCGCAGCTGTACCCGACGACAAAGGCCTCTTTCGTTTTCGTCGTTCTCGCACTGCTGCTGACGCATTTCGCATCTTCAATTTGGCCTGACGCTCGTAGTCTTCCTTCCTCGGGTCGCACTCGACGATCTCCGTTGCCTTGCCCGACAGAAAGTGAAGTCTGCTCGCCTTTTCTGGCAGCTCACAGCCGTTCTGGAGATGGCCACGAAGATGCGTTCCTATGCCAATGCACTTGCCGACGACTTTCATATTCCTACTCGTGCTCCTCTTTCAGGTTTAGAGCCTGGTTTTCATATTTGCAAGTTCTACAATGTTCTTCAATCTTTCCACAACGCTCTTGAATGTAGTGGTGATCACACTTTCATTAAAAAACTTAGCAAAAAAATGAGAAGTCCGCTCTTTTTCTCACATAGGTTGAAACTAGTACCCTCGCGTCCTCTTGGCGTTTTGCTCTAGTGGGATAATTCCTTTATGGTCACCCAAAATTGGAGATCATAAGGAAAGAGTTTGATACTATGAAGTTAATATTGACTTACTTGATGGTCGACATATAGTTATTCAGTTATCTTACGATGCCGATTACACTCGCTTTTTTCTCGAAAAATTATCAAGATCGACCACCGTTTTATGAAAATTCTGATGTGAACTGTCGATTTTGATCCAAAAGCGGAGTCCCTTATCGTTCCCGTTTGGATAAAGTTTCCGGGTTAAAACTACACAGTTCAACTTGAAAATTCTCTACTCTTTATTAATTGCTTACGGTAAGCCTCTCAAGGTTGATTGTTTTACGCTTGTTGTCACTAGACTCTCTGTGGCTTCTGTGTTAGTTGAGAGAGATATCACTTAACCAGTTCTTGATGAGGTATGGATTGAAACCACTCACAACGCGTATTGGAAAAATGTTGAAATAGAATTACACCCTCATTGCTCTCATTATAGTATGTTTGGCCACATTTATACTATTTGTTATCGCTTGCATCCTCATCTAAGGCCGAATATCACTAAAGATCAGTCACTTACCATCCCTGTTCAGAATGTGCAATCTGATCCTCTTTCTAACACCGTAGTTCCAAATAAAGAACATCATACTACAGGTACAAATCCAAATGTGCTTATACCACTCACTGTTATTTAAGAAGACCTACTTACTTGTCAAGATACACGAGAGTGCTCATTTGATCCGATAAAAGATCAGCTGGTACAACAAGTAGTTGCTTCTAATGTTCCACAACCTACACATGTTTGCACACTTTAGACCAACCCAATGATCGGCAAGCCAATCTTCAGATGAGGAATGACATATCTATTCAAGGAGGAAGACGAAAAATGGAGGCTGACTCGAGCTCAGGAATTTATTGAATGATACACTGGTTACTACTGACAATGTCACTCATCTTATCAATTTATTAGCCGGATCCTTTCCTAGAACTAGAGGCAGAGGCAAGACAAAATTAGGTCGCTTTCTAGCTACCTTATACTCCATATTTTGACACTTTCTGGTATTTTAGTTAGGTCTCTCATGTTTTTTTTATGTATTTTCTCTTTTTGAAACCATTTGATGTAGTGGTTATCGTGTTGTCAGGATGCCATGTTTGAGCCCTCCCACACAATCTGTTTTCTTCTTTCTATTTAATATATCAACCTTTGAGCTTTCTCAAAAAAAAAATTATATATTATATATATATATATAATAGCCCGATGTTCGTGCCATTTGTTTGTGTCGGGAATTGTAGTGATGCGTATGTCCTTCCTAGCTAAAGTCGACGCTCCAGACGTGTTGTAGCAGTCAATTTTTGTCGTCCGGGGTCATCCAAACAATCTCGGCGATAATAGGGTCGAAAATGTGTTAAACTCAAACATCGTCAAAATTTTATTCCATGATCGATTATTCCAGCAATTAATTCGAGCTTGATCAATCGTGAAGTTTTCTACGGGTGCAGATGGCGTGAATTTCGATATTTATGTACAACGAGTGCGCAAATTGTGGTATTTGCGCTTCGTGAAAGCACACGGAAGTTACAATGGGTTTTCTATAGTTTTAGGTCCTATGTGTACTCGAATTAAGTTTCGTCATGCTGGTTTCAATCGACTCTACCAAACGTTGAAGATTTAGAACCGACCATATGAAACTGCAAGGAGCCAAGAAGTGGCTCGAATTTCTAGTTGGTGCGGGTCCCAGACTAGTCATCTGAGAGAGTCCAACAAGAAGTCCCAAGTCTAGACCCTAGGCTCTAAGAAGAAGAAAAGACCTCACAAAAAATGAGGTTAACATGGAGCACCGCCACCTCCTCAGATACAACTCTAGAATAGGGAATACTCTCCACACATGAAATCTAAAATAAAAGTCATCAAAAATTAACATTAATCCTTGAAAACAACAAATAAATAGCTCCTACGTGAACGAGAAGTGGAAAGGAAGGAAGAGAGGGGCGGGCGGCTGTCCTGCCCCGTCAGAATCCCTCCTTAGGCTGCTTGACTGGAGTTCACCCTGGATCGGTCCTTAATTGACCGGTCGAGTTCAATAGCAGGACATCCTGCCGTGGGAAACCGTTCAGTGCTGGAAGTCCTTTGTCCCGCGTCAGTGTGGGAAGCCCCGTGTCATTGTCACCAAGCATTACAAGGCTACTTTTGGTTTATGTTGTTTGGTATTTTGTTTCGTCAGTGTATTTGTTGCTCAGAGCTACATGTTGTTGCAAATATGCTTGAATTCATTGCCATGGTTTTTATCCTTCTCTGGAAACCAATAGTTATGGAAGATGAAGAGTGCCAATTTGGGGGCAGACAGATTTATCTCGTCATTATTATATCATGAGAGCATTTCTTGTTCCTTGTCGGTTCCCATTTTGCCATGATTATGTCTTAGGAAGATGAAACACAAACTTGATTTTCTCTGAAGTGATGAAAGTACATGCCCATGTCCATTCCATCTGCCCTAAAAGGAAGCAATAAGATATGAGAAATTTTAATGCGTACCTCAGAGTCTACAACCATCACCTAAGTCTCAAGCTTTAGTCTAAAGCTTTATTGTTTTTTGTGACTGTAAAACAAAAGAAATTAAGTATTTAGCATGGACTCTATTGTGTTAGTCTGGAAATAATTCTGAATAAAAAATAGAATAACATGAGATAGGAAGGGAATAAACCAAATTACAGGTTTCCTAGATATTCTCGACAAATCCTCCAAAATTTTGAGGTGATGGCTAGCCTGCATAAGAGAGGCCTACATGAAAAGAACTAAATCCTCTCAGATTTCCACGACCTTGGTTTTTTAACAAACGTTTTTGCTATAGTTGAAAGCTTATGCTTTTATTTTGACAAGTCCTTGAATAAGTGTGTTCTTGTTTTCAGTTAATCCGACACAAATCAATTCCCCCCACTCGAAAACATACATGAAATATGGACAGTTAGGTATTCTACATATGACTGAACATCTTTTTTCACAAATTTAATTGGTTTTCATATCAAAATTTACTATTTTCTTACCACTATTTTTAACTCTTAGTGCTAAAGTGCATGTTGACCTCATTTTTAGTGAGGTCTTAGTCTCCTACTCTTAGAACCTAGGATCTAGTTTTAGGAGTTCTTGTTGACCATCTTAGTAGACTAGTATTAGAGTCCACCTCCCGTAGAGTTTCGACCCACTTCTTGACTCATTTTTATGAAAAACTCGCATGAGTGGTTTCGAGCACTCAACTTCTAGTTGCAAGGGCTAAAGATCAACATGTAGAGGGCCTGAAAATGAGTTTCTATAGTATCAAACAACCTTAGGTGAACCCTTTGTGACTCGATTACTCGAGAACGCCGCAATTCACGCACTCACTGCACCACACACGACTTTAACTTGAATCGACTCGCCCGTCGGCAAAATCTTCTAGACGACCCCGGATGACGAAACGGACTGCACTAACGCGTCCGGAACGTCAACTTTAGCTAGGAAGGACACCCGCATTGTTGTGATTTCGCACGCAAGCGACTGGCACGAATATCGATGCACATTTTTTTAATTAGCAGGGTGCGGGCCTGGACTCAACCCAGGTTCAACTCAGATTCGATTTGAGCTGGACTCGAGAAAATTTTGAATTTCAAATTTTTAAATTTCAAATGGGTCATTTACTCTCATTTTAATTGAGAGTTTAAGTTTTTCCTTTTGAAACTGCTGCATCAACGGAATTCATTCAATCCCCCGCCAAAGAGTCTCGCATAACGTCTCTCTCAAATTTCTAATATACTCTTCCCCTGACGAGGCTCGGGACTCTGGATTCAACTCCTCACTCTCACGCTCGATCTAGCTCCTTCCGGCTGCTCGCGCTTCTTCTCCTCTCAACGACGAATCCCTAGCCGAATCTCCCCTCTGTCCTCCTCTCCCGTGGCTCTCCTCCTCTCCCGATTCGTCTTCACAGAAAAGCATCAGATTCGCCTGCTTCGTCCCTCCCGCTCGAAACTCTCGCCTTCCTCTAAAGCCCGCCTTCTTCCTCCCCTCCGGTACGAATCATCTTCGCCTCTTGCCTCTGCACCGATACCTTCAACTGCCTCGTCTCCCCCGCGCGATCTCCTCTCTTCCGCCGAAGACCCCTGATCGCCTCCCTCTTTCTCACGCTGAAGAAGCTCCGCTCTACAAGTCCCGCTCGCCCCACGTGACCAAACTCTCGCCTCTACAACTTCGCGAATCGCGAGCTTCTTCCTCACCTGCTTCGCTTCCCCTCTGGCGAACTCCCATCTGCACTGAAGCACTCACCTGCTTCGCCTCTCCTGTTGGCTCCCCTCCCCGCGCCCGAGACCCTCGTCACCTTTCCTGTTTGGCTTCACCCCCGATCGAAACCCAGCGAAACACTCGCGATTAGAGTTAGTCGGGAAAGCGACCACGGGATCTCTGTGAGTAAGGCCTTCGAACAAAAATCTCTACACAGTTGCAGGTATGTTTCCTGAACTCCCTTTTCCTTTCAATTATTTTTTATTTTTTTTTTATTTTCAATAAAAAAAACTCTGTTGATATTGATTATTGAGTGTATACCTTAAATCAATCAGTTCTTCTTTCTCAGCATAAGACAAATTTATCTGCTCTTCTATTGAAGTATGATAT